GAGGGGCCTCGAGCCCCACTGGCCTCGTTGGGGGACACCCTGGACCCCAGCAGGGGCCTTGGTGCTGCTACTCACAGAGAGTTCAGGGAGCGGAGGCCCTGGAAGGCATCAGGCGCGATCTCTGCGATCTGGTTGTTGCTCAGGTCTCTGCACAGTGAGCAGAAGAGAGGGTGGCTGAATCCCTCAGCGGCCACCAAGCCCTCCTGGTCCCCTCTACCTCCCAGATGCCATGGGAGGGCAGGGGCTGCTTTGAAATTAGAGAAGTGAGGGGCCCATTCTCCCATCCATCAGAAAAACCCACAGCCACTATCTCCCTATGCAGTCCGGGGGTCGTGCCCAGCCTTGGTCCATTTTTGACAAAGCTTTCCCCCACCTCCTAGCTGTCCCCTGCATCCCCTCTTATGTCCATAGTGGCTCCTATGGTTGCTCAAGCTGACATGGGAGGGCGAGAGTCAATTCTGGTCATATGCCAGATGCAGGCTCAGCATTTAGGTCTCAGGACAACCTTGCAAGAAGCTCACACCACTGTCATCCCACATCACAGATGAGCCACCTAAGGGGCAGGAACGCCAGGCAGCAGCTTGCCCAGGGCCTCTCAGCCATCACAGGCAGAGGCGGGACCTGCCAGGGCTGCGGCATGCCAGGCCCGGGGCTCCCTCCTGCCCCATGCTGACTCAGGGAGCGTGGGGAGGCGCTCACATCCTCCGCAGCTTTCTGTAGGGAGAGAAGGCTCCAGGGGGAATGGACTTGATTCCATTGAGCTCCAGGCGGCTGCAGAGAAAGGACACAGAGGAGGCTCAGGTCAGGTCACCCCAGTCTGGGCTACTGCCTGCTGGGCTCACTCACCCACACCAGGCCCTTTGTCTCCCTGCCCTGCTCCCATCCACTGTCTGGAGTGGGTGGGCTGGCGCAAGCAGAGAAAAGGGGCTGCTGTGATGTGAGCTCCATTATCCCAGGCTGCCATGGCTGAAAGGGGCCCACGAATGATGCTAATACTAAGAAACCAGTTATAGCACACTCACCCAGCTGGGCTGGACACATGGACCACAGAGGAGCACCCCCTTCCCAGCCCCCCAGAGTTGCCCAGGCTTGGGCAGAGGACTCAGCCAGCCAAAGCAAACTGACCTCTCCATTTACACTGAAGGGCCTTGGGGCAAGTCCTAGGGTGGCGCCGCCAGGGCCTGGCCCAGCCCCAGGGCCTGTGCCCCGTGCCTGTCTTGCCCTGTACTCACATCTCCGTCATCATCTCCGGCAGGTTGGCAGGGATGGCGGTGAGGCCTTTGCCACGACAGTCCACAATGCCGTTGCTGCAGGCGCACATGGCTGGGCAGGAGCCGGAGGACAGGGTGCAAGAGGGGGCGTGCCCTGCCTCCCCCTGGCCTGCAGAAACAGACGGCTGTGACCTCGGGGTGTCTCATGCCTGCACCTCCCTCTAGAGACACAGACTGGTGAGTAGGGATGGGGCACGTGGGTTTCTCTAGTTGAGGATGAACCAGAGAGCACCCAAGAACTCCCCTGGAACTCCATGGGCACCTGGCACCTGGACTGGTTAGATGTTTGCTGAACTTGAATTTGAAGCTACCTGTGCTACACGAAAGTATGATTCGTATGCTAGGAAATCCGAGCCTGAATTCTGAAGCTACAGGTTCTCGGCCGGGTCACTCAGCACTTTTGAACCCAAGTTTCCTTGCCCATTACTGAAGAATGACAAGGACTCTGTTTGCCTCGCACCTACTCTGTGCCATCTGCTGGGATAAGTGTTGTGCTCGCAGCATCCATTTTAATCCTACTGCTCATCCTAGGAGGAGCATGGTGTTATTGTGGCCATTTACAGGAGAGAAAAACAGGGTCTTTGATATTAATTAGTTTGTGGAAAGTCACAGAGCTGACAGGTGCTGAAACCAGGATGAAGCCCAATGTTGATAAATTGCTGGTCTGTGGACTTCACATAACCGAAATCAGACAGCGGGTTCTCGCGTCTGGCTTCTTTTGCTCAAGATCAAGTCTTTGAGATTCGCCCACGTTGTGTATCGGTAGTTTGTTCTTTTTTAACGTTGACTAGTATCCTATTGTGTAGATAAGTCATAATTAGTTAATCCACTCTCTTGTTGGTGGCATGTGGGTTGTCTCCAGCTCTGAGCTGCTCTGGAGAAAGCTGCCTTGGTTATTCTTGGACACGTGTGCCGGCAGAACATATGCATGCACCTAGCAGGAGCGGCAGGGTCACGGGGAGACATATGCTGGGCTTTCGTAGATCCTGCTGAACAGCTGTGTGAAGTGGCTGAGCCAATTTACACTCCCATCAGCGTTTCAACCTCTAATCCTTTCCTTGGCTCCCCCAAAGCGTGGGCGCCAAGATCGAAGAAGACAAAGTTATGAGGACTTCAGACAAATTGTGAAAGCACCGTTTTTGGGAGGGGGGTTGCCAGGGTGAACAGACTCAAGGGGTGGGGGGGGAATGCCTGAATATAGAAACTAAGGTATTCTAAATGCAAAGAAAACGGTTTCATTTCAAAATAAGAACTGTCCAAGTGAATTATCCGCTCCTCTTCCTAAAACCTGGGGCAGCTGCAATAACTCAGAGGAGCAGCATCAGCCTTGGCTTTCCTCACACATGAGTACATGCCTGTGTGTGCACACATGCACACACGCTCACACACCAGTCACACACTCTCTCCACACGCACCCTCACCCTCACAGTCACACACTCACACACAGTCACACACTCTCCACATGCACCCTCAC